ATAAACTTGAGAGAATCGGACCAAATTGGCTGGTCATATTTAGTAGCTTTATAAGGAAACGTATTAAGGTGTAATTGCTGCGGGGGAGTGTGCAACGGAGGGAATGGGCATAGGTGAGGGGTTGCAAAATCGCCCTCACACTCTGGAGGGACACTGCCGTTTTTGTGTGCCGCTCAGGAGTTTCCAATCAGCATGAGGAAATATGGAGCGTATTATAAGATTTTATATAATAAGTTCATTTTATTTCACATTTCCGAAAAATGAACTTTTACAGTGTGGTAAAGTGTAGCCTGAAATAAAAACATCTGTTTGGCATTTAACTTTGCCAGCATATGGGATCCTCTGATGACAATGATTGAGGGTGGAAGAGAAGATCCCCTCGTGTATTCCCCCACCCAGCCAGAGAGACAGAGAGAAGAACAAGGACCATATCTGCGCACAATGAATGTTTTCTCCCTCCACTATGATAGATGTGCAAAAGTGTTACAAAACAAGCTATCGCGCTTATGCGAAATGGTTATTTTGCAACACCCAAGAAGTTGATCGATGAGTACGACTACCTCTCCCACATCTCCGTGTCACTCCTCCTGCATACAAAGTGAGGTAAAAAAAAATTGCCCCACCAGTTGCATTCATTGATATTATTTGAATTTTTCGGAGTAGGATTGTTTTTTGGGGGGTTTTTTCAGAAGGAAAACAATGGAAAGTGAAACATATCATCCCACTTTGTCACGTGGTGCCCCGAAAGAATCTCTCTCTGTGTCTTTCTTTCCAGGAGAAAAGTTCATGCCACTGCATGTTTTTTCCTCTTGCTGGGGTTTTTTCGGCAGTGTAGCATGGCGCGACGCACTGAGGAGCCTTTCACCGGCTTCACCTGATACCGCTGTGACTCGGAGCAGGAGCTGCACTACAGGCCAGGATCGACATGCAGGTCAAACAAGGAGCTAGTCTTTCGACAGAGTTCGGAGGCTGGGTCAGACTAATGTGATTTATCAATACAGCGCATAAGTGAATCATTGTCCTTAATGGCCATGATAATCCCCGAGACAGACCACGGATGCAATTGGTTGAGAAGTTAGGGAGGTGGGGTGAAGGTGAAGGGACTGTGTAGGTTGTTGGGATGTCTTGATCATCGGTATCGTGCACCTGCAGGGTGTCCATGTATCTCCCTGTGCTCAGTTTCTCTCTCACACACGCACACACTCGAGTGCACACATTCAGATTTACACTTATCGAAGCTTGGCTGATGGGGCCTGGGAGAGAAAAGACAGAGCTCTTGTTCCTTGACGCCAGAGCTCGGGCTCAGGTCAAGACTCAGCTCGCTGTAATCCCTCTCAGGTGATGCTGTTCACATTCAGCCGTTTCCAGCTGATCTGCTTAAATATGCCTTCCTCATCCCCCTAAAAAGCCCCCTCCTCTCCTCGAGCAGCACAACCTCAGAGGACAGTGAGAGGGAGGGAGGGCTGCTGCTGCTGCTCCAGTCGAGATCGGATCAGATGGCCTTCCTGCATTTCCGTAAGGTGACCAATCTGGTGCTCATTGCAATACAATAAACACACTTTTTGTTAAGCGTGGAATGTGGAGAGAAGAGCTGGGACGCGGGGTTAGCATCACCTGGATCAGAGTGGCATCATGTGAGAAGGTCTAGTTAACAGACGTGCCATCTGCAGGGCTTTTTTTTTTTTTTTCTTTCTTCGCTTTTTCCAAAGGCAAGAGTGGCAAGGCTGGTTTAAAAGCAGCTTCTTGGAGCGTTCTCTCTCATCCCCCTTAGGCACTTAATCAACGTATTATATTGCGCTGAAGTACTGCGTTCCAACATTAACACTTACACCCACAAACCTGGGACTTTGTGCAAGCTTTCAGCACACAGAGGCCTGATTTTCAGGGGTTTCGAAAAAAGAGAGCACTATGAGCATCTTAACTTCATCAAAAGACGCTGCATGTTTAAATGTATTCAGCAAAAAAATAAATAAAAAAATGCATTTGATTTTAAAAGAATTTCTTATTTATGTCTTTGTTTTTGCTATTGTCAAACTAAAACCGCAGAGTCAGTTTACCTGAGTGGATCAAGTTTCTGCAGACATAATTCTTTGCTGAATGAAGGGCATATGTAGCCACAAATTATGACTATTTTCTGTGCCGTTTTGGCTTCGGAATCACAATCACACACACCCTTGTTGCTGACTGTCACCAGCAGTACAAAATGTCATGCATCTCTGACCTCACTCCCTCCACCCTCCCATAGTGCACTGGTTTCTTCTAATCACTTTTGTCCTTTAAAAACATCTGGGAATGCAGTTGAGTAACAGATTACACAGCTGAATATGATCTGAAACATGTTGCAGCCTGCTGGGAATTCAAATTTGGGATTTCAGGGTAGATGTGGAAGGGTTAACAGTATCACATGGCAACTTTTCACCACTCTTGACTGCTATTACCTATTCATTACCTGTTTAAATGGCTTAGGGCCCCACTGTGCATCTCTGTTCCTTCAGGCAGCACTCGCACTCCAGCCTGATTTTATGTAGTCAGCAGGTGGCATCATTAGCCAGAGAATAAAAATGAAAAGTAATACCCTTGTGTCTAGCTATGATATCATAGCAGGGCTCATTGGCATCATTTTCCTGTTTCTAGTGGGCAGGATAGGGGGTAAGGAGGTGTAAATTTAATATGTTTTGTCATCTGTTTTACATTTTAAAAAGTGTATATGTACAATTGCCACAGCCAAATGCGAGCTTGGGTTGTGCCATGCAGTGTGTGAGTGAGACAGGATCAGCCCAGAAACCACACAAAGATCCCAATCTTTCACTGTGCCGGAGTCAGAAACGGGATGGTTGTTTTACACCTCCACATCCCCTAATTATGATGGCATCTCCATCCTTTACACCTCACTCCGTCATGTGGCTACAGTACCTCGCAGACAAAACTTTTTTTTTTTCTTTTTTTTGCCACGCACGTTAAAATGAAAAAGACATTTTGTGAAATTATGCAGGATGTGTTTCGTTACGCATAAAAGCAGTCACGGCTGGGGAGCGGAGTGTGGCCAAATTGAGTTTCAATCGTGTCTGGGTCTCAACACTCCTGAACGGTTTGGATAGCTCCCCGTGCATGCCAGACAGGCTGTATATAAAGCTGTCACAGGAACCTTGAGGGCTAGAAAAATATTCAAGCATTTCTGGGCCTATTGGACAATGATCTCTTACACATGCTTCTTTCAATATAACCGTGATAAATAAAGGAAGGAAGCAAATACCGAAAACTTGGACGGCTGCCACTGCTTGCTAGAATGGCACTCTTGGCCCAAAGTGCTGTGTGTCCCCCCCACCACCACCACCACTACCACCACCCTCACCTCCAACCGCCCAAACACACACACGCATACACTTTCAACATTACTGTAAAGGCAAAAACTAGAACATATTTGCATGGGATTAGTTTGACAAGTGTAACATCCGCTCTGAGAGCCGGTGGTAACAATGTGTAGCTTTATAATGCTCAGCCTAAAGCTGTTCTTGAGGTCAAATGTGTAAGTTAACCCCTTGATCTCACCCCTACTGGTTCACCCACCACCACCACCACCACCCCGCCTCCTCCTTCTCTGGAGCTCAAACACAAACAGACACAAGAGATAAAGAGACAAAAAGACAAATGTGCAGACTGGATTTGGTTGCTTGACCATCATTAGCTGCTTGACCATCCAATATAACCCTGCAGGTTTAAACAGTTTTCTAAAGAAAAAAAAGATTGATGATAATCATAAAATGGCATTCTATCCCCTGCTTGCTATCTAAGATCACACAGAGCACAGAGAAAGAAACACACAGAGGGAGCTGAAAAACGTGTGTGTGCCAGTACCCCGCAGTGATTGCCTGATTATTTGCAGATGGGCAGTGGAGGGCTCGCAGAGTGTGGAGGTTCCCCCTGGCACGCAGCGCATATGATTAAATCTGTGATTGCCTTACAATTTACAAGACCCCCCTCTCTCCCTTGACTCGAAATTAGTTTTTCTACTGTACTACTTCTCGGTGCGGGCCGTTAGCGCAGCACGATCCATGTGCGCAAATCTAACCAAAACCTTCTCTCATGGTCACCCCCGAGGATCTTGGCGATGTGTTATGTCACAGGTCTGAGGAGGGCTCCGCGGGGGCCACTTTCCTAATCCGACTGTCTCCTCATTCATTCAGAGTATAGAGTAGTATTTACAAAGGGGCTGATCCCCTCCTCAACTCCTGCGCCTCCGCTGAGCGATTGTTATGCGGGTTTCCTACCAACTGTTCAAAGTGGTTATGAGATCAATTAAAACCAGCTTAGGGGGCTGGAGTGGAGATGTGCAATTCATAAGTCTGGGGATGGGAATTCCGTAGCTATTCATTAAATAACTCCCCCATCCTTCCTATAAGCCGCCGCTCTCTATAGAGCTACCCGCATCAGCAGCTTTTTTTTTTTCCAGTTTCGCATGTAAATAATATAGGGCGCCCTTTGTTGGGGCCATAACACCGGGAAGTGGCGTTAATAGCCCGTCTGACAGCGTACTTTAAATACGATTAGCCAAATTCCCTGACGCAACATGTTTTAATACCAATTTTGGATAGATACGCGTGGCCAATTTTTGCGCACATTTTACGCACCGCATACCGGCTCTGAAATCGTTATACAATGTGGAAAAATCTTCTTTCAAGAGGTTAATAAGACACATAGGATTCTGACGGACTGAGTTGTAGCTTAGATAACGTTTTTTTCTTTCTGCAATGTTTGTCATTTTTGTGTGGAATCGGCAGCTCTCACCTGCGAGGTTCAAAATAAGATTATGCAGCTTTGTGCGCACTGTGCTCTTACTTATAGAGAATGTACATAATGCAAGAAGGATAGATACGACACTTTCACAGAATGTGTGAGCCACCTTGTTTAGGACTGAAACACACACAAACTCTTTAACAATCTGTTAAAGTCACTCCCTGGATGCTGCTCTAAGACCTGTGGGCTACATAACCCCGTGTTACCTCTTTTGTTTCTCCTCCAGCGGTGCGACGGCGCCTGACAGTTGCTGTACTCCATACAGTTCAATACGATCAGGGCAAATGAGAAGAGTCGAAACTGCATCTGGACGGCGGTCTGTTGTTCGGAGTCCAGTAAAAACGGTGCCAGTTGGGCTTGGGATGAATTCTCTGACTTTGTAATGTTCTCCTCCAGTTTCTTTAGTCGATCCTCAAATGTGTCAAACATCAGACGAGATGCGACATGGTATCACGTCGCCGACTGGGATCATTTTATGGAGCGCGCTGATCCTCCAGTCACTAAAAGTGTCCGTTTTGTTGCGCTGCGGGGAGAATGACAAAGGAGGTTACTGTGATAACAGTGTAACGAAATCAACACCTTCCTATACAAATGATGCGTGGGGATGATAGAGGGGAATTGAAAGGAAAAAAATGAATAGCTCTTCTGTGTGTTAATGTGTTTCAACAATCGCAGATACAACGGCTACTGCTCAAACGCCCCCCTTTCCAAAAAAAAAAAACATAGAGCGCAATCGTGCGTAATAGTCGCCAGTACGCTCCGTGAGATAACGTGGTGTTGTAGCAATACCTTTCATAAGATAAAGTGTAATTCCGCTCCGGTCCACTTTTTTTTTAGGTTCCCTCTGTGTGCAAGCGCGGCTCGAGAACATGCAGCATCCCTCTCTGTGTGAGAAACTTGTGTCTCCAGAAGAGAACAGAGGTCCGAGGAGGAGGAAAAAAGGTGGTAGCGGTGAAGGGGAGGGGGGATTTCCTTTCCTCCTCTCAGTTTAAAAAAAAAAAAGAAGCTTGGATTCCGTTTACCTGCGTTTCTTCACTCAAGCTTGTCCCGTACTGTAACGCAGCAGAAACAAACTCACATGTGTTGCTTTGCTATAAAGCGGAAAATGAGAGCCGGTGAGTGAGTCTGCGTTTTGCGCGCTGCTGAGGTTGAGCTGCGACTGACTCCCAACTGGTCCTGATGCTTGCTGCCTTTTTCCTCATATAGCGCCGTGTCGCTGTCACGTGTGGACGCTTCTAGTTTTGTGTTTCTTCTTATTTAAGATGTTGAAGATGACATTTCGTGTAGTCCCACCACCACCATCCCTCCACCCCAGCGCGCACTCACCCACACTGGCCGATACGAGATTGCCTCTGGGTCCTAGTGAGCATAAAAAAGGTGGAACATTCAAAAAAGTTTATGTAATTTATCTTTTTTCTATTTAACGCAGCTTTTCTGTGACGGAAATAGTGATTTTTCTTAGAATATACGATTTGGAATCCAAATTTTTTGTGAATTTCTTGCGCAACAGCACCATTGTGCATTTCTTAACGGAGGTTTCAAATTAAAGTTTAGTGACCTCTCTTAACTAGAGAGCTAAAATGAAGTGAGAAATTGCAACAGAGTTAACCTAGTTGCTATCTCGGTTTCTTCCACTAACGATGTCCCTGTTGAATAATTAGAGGTTCGCCCCCCCCCCAAAAAAAAGCAATTATCTGTTAATGTGCATAATGACATAGGGTTCGCAAGTCAGCCATCTCGTCACGCCTCTTTCATCGCCCCCTCCAAACTCCCATCCCTCTCTGAAATTAATGATAATCGCTGGAGAGGCTGTAATTGCGGAACATGAATAAATCACTCAATAATTCCCGGGTTTTTCCATCCGCTGACCCATGTGACCTCACGCAGGGAGACATCTTAGCCGGTCAGTCTCTCCTTCAGTCACAACCATCTTACCTTGTGAAGAAAGACACGATCAGCTGGCACTGGTCCACTCCTCTGTGACATTCAAACTCTGGCTGCTCGTCAACTCTGCAGATGATTACAAATCAGGGACGAAACGGAACGGCACAGATTTGAAAGTTAGTGACAAGAGGCTCCAGAAGGGGAAAAGAGTCAGAGAGAAGTGATGCGTAAATGTGGCCAACTGCAAAGTGCCGGACATCTGTAGGGGGCATTTTTCTGGTAATATTTTCTCACCTTCTGATGGAGCAAGTTGTAAATGCTCTACCCCCTTTAGCCACTAGGTGTGGCACTTAATCTTTTATTTATTTCAGGAAATTATTTTCATGAGAGTTATGTTGTCCACGTCAGGAATTCTACAAGTGTGAGGTCAAGAAAAAAAAAGCTTTTCACAATATGTTTAATCATAAAAGACGATGGACAGAGAGAGTTCTCGTTTAAAAAAAAAAAAAAAAGTTCTTTCAAAAATCCTATAACTGTGTTTTCTCTCATTTGGGATCACAAAGATATCATATCTAGGCATTGCAAAATTTCATTCACATGCTGCTTTTCACTTTAAACAGCAGAGAAAATTGTGACAAAGCCAGTAAAACACACACTTTGCTACTCAAACACACACAAGTGCAAGTTTCCATTTCGTCACCGGAACTGAAAAAATATGTGAGGGGAAAACCTGTGTGTGTAAAAAAAAAAAACCTATAGTGACCTTTGTCCTGGCTTTGTTTATTTATTTATCCAGAGAGCAGTGAGAGACATTGTGGTCAGGAGGGCTGTTAGCCGCAGGCAGTGCTGCTGGTTTGGACTCCTCTCTAAAACAACATCTGAGAGTGCACGGTTAAGGTGAATGTGATAATTTAGGCCTCAGGCACTTTTATTTTCATGATGTGTCATGGAGAAGGGGGCCGGTAAACCAATCACTTTATTCTCTCCATCCCTCCCTCCCGCTCGTTGCAGTGCACAAAAGTGGAGGTGACGTCAGCATTTGGATGGTCTGGCTCAGAGCCCTCAGTGCCATAACAGCAATGAGGGGAGCTGCTGTACACCCTGCTCATCAGAGAGCCGGCCTGCGTGGTCTTCATCGTGGGTTTTTTGTCACAGTTTACTGGGTTAAAAAAAAAAAAAAAGAAGGAAAAAACAAAACAACAACCAAAAAAAAAAAGCCACTCCACAGCGGTCATCTTAAAAAGTCAGAATCTGAAATGTCAAGACTAGGATGAGAGTGAGGCACACTGAGAAAGTTCAAGTCACATTTAGCAACTTTCCGTGCTTGTGGCTCGAAATGGAAAGAGGGAGACTTCAATATCCAGAAATAATCCAACATGACATTCACAAACAAAGCTGAAACATTACAGTCCACACGTGTACAAACACGACTTTATAGTCACCATAAATACAGCTGACAAACTTATCTCCCCTCGGGGTCCATTTAGGAGCCGGCCTCCAGCTTTAATTGATAAATGAAACAATGTGAATTTGAGCATCTACAATTCATCTGCTGATGAAGATCACATATGATGAGAAGCTTCAGAACAGCTATTAAAATGGACCTTTAGGTGAGACTGTTTTGTTTAACTGCTGAATCCAAGATCAAGACTGAACTCTGAACCTCAGCGATAAATCTATTAAGGAAAATATCTTCAAAATCTGGCTTTTGAATACGAGGGCGTGGGTTCGTCGATGCCGAAGCCTGAGAAGGTGTCAGACTATCCATAAAAACTTAGTGGATGAGGTAGCCTGTTGGGGTTTAAGATCAACAGAAGATGTGAAATACAGAAAAGGTGCATGCTTCCTTAAAAGCTGTGAGAACCTATTTTCACAGGCGCCTGCTTATATAAACCTACATAAGACTCGGTGTTCTGCCTGAGGTTGAACAGTTTGGGGTGTTTCACATGAGAGATTTATTTGTGTTCAGCTCTTCTTTGGGCTCGGCTGGAGAGAACCCGATGTCATGCATTAATAAATTAGTTTTTTGTTATCATTGAACTTTTAAAAAATGGAAGCATTGCTTTATTCCTAAATATCTGCTGCATGTGAATTTACTGGAATTCAGACATATTGTTACGCCTACGGTTTGCAGCCATGAATGACAATTTACAGTAAAAAACTAAATAAATGGGGAAAAAACTGACTAGCATAATAATCAAATCACCTGCATGTATAACTACACTGACAGACAGGGAGCAGCGTAGAGGAGTGTCAGTCCTTCTTCAGACATTTAAAGCTGCAGTTTCATACATTTTCTCTGGTCACAGTGTCACAATACCTTCTAGTCGCTTGGTCTATTTAAAAAGTATATTGAATAAATAAATTGGGATATACTGTATACTTACTGAAAAACCACTGGAAAAGCAGGTTTTCATATTTCACCTCTATTGTACACAGTGCACTTATGTTTATCAACCGAGCCGGCCTGTGACGCATTATGGAAAAAATAGAGGAGGAAAGCACCTATTATTGGTTTGTCCTGCTTTTTCTCTGGACGGAACAATGTCGTACTTCTGTTCGTGGGTGAAACACGCGCGCGTGATGCAACACTCTTTTGCACTTTCCAGTCTTTTGATTTAACCTAATAAAGCAGGTGTATTCTACATAAAACCCTTGTTTAGTAGTTAAATTGCATGTAAGGAGAAAATTAAAGGCACATGAAGGAATGAAAGCCTGTTTGTGAGCAACTGTAATAAAGGAGGGAGGGAGCGTCAAAGGACTGAGTTATGAGAAGGTCGAAAGCAGAGAAAAGCGGGGGTGGGGTGGGACATTAAAAAGATTGTGTCCGTCTGGCTAATGGTTCTTTATGGCTCCCTCATGTCCTCAGATGGGCAGGATGACTGGCAGAGAGTGTGACCACTGGTAACTGTACATCACCTCTGTTTGCCCCCTTCAGCTGACGTCCCACTCAGCGAGACTGCCTGCCACGGTGAAGTGAACCACTAAAACACCATAAAACCAACAGACTAAACAGCCATTCATCATTACTGCACACACATGAGCCGCATCACACGCAGCGGCCTTAACTGTCCCACTCAGTGACTCAATGCGCACATTAAAACTTCATCAAGTATTACCGACACAAAAAAAGTCTGACCACTCAAACCTCAACCGCCGTTTGTAATGTCCAGAAATAAGGCAATCATGGGTGAAAATGGTTTTGTTGGTCACTTTTATTGAATTGGTGATGACTTGAACCAAGTGTAAAGCAGCACTGTGCTCCTTGAGAGACAAGTGTGGGAAAGAAAAAAAAAGATGTAACACAACGAGCAGTATGGATCCGTCTTCACTGTGTCTCTAAAATCCACCTTCCTGACCTGCCCAGTTTGGTGTCTGCAAGAAAAAGCGTGAAGAAAACATCAGATTAGACCGTTCGCAGATCGCTGGGAGTGATCAAAACAAATTTTCTTGTTGATTGTGGGAAATGTGAAAAAGTTACCTACATGTGCAAGCAGTTAAATGCTGAAGTTTTCCTTGTCAGGAGTGTGTAATGTGTGTGTTCTGCTGGTGAGCGCTGGGTGGCTGTGAGAGCTGACAGGGACCCTAAGCAGCCTGCCCAGATGGTAGGCAGTAAATGTTCTCTATATGTAAGTGATTTGTAGCCTTGAGGACAGCAGGATGTAATGGTGCTCTGTGAGTTGTTTGCAGCCTCTTTTGTCTAATTACAAAAACTCCTTAATGAGGGGGGGGCTTTGCTTTTTTTTTTTACAGGACAAGGTTATGGCAGCACTCCTGCTGCAGATATTCAAACAATAGGGAGGAGGGTAATTGAGCACATCAAAAGATACTCAAAAGCTGCACAGTTAAAAAGTGAACATTTAACATGTTGTAACTCAGTGGCCTTGGGGCTGGGGGGTGAGAAATCCAATCAGCTCAGACGCCCATCAAATCAGTCAGCTTTGACAGA